GGAATCGTCGTCCGGTTGAAAGGTTTCCGACATGTCGCCGCCAGCGAACTGCATCGCATAATACAACAGGCCCGCTAAATCCTCAACCGTAGGCTCTTTTTGGTAGTTGTCAAATACGTTTAGTTGTGTTTCCATAATATCATACTGGATGTTGTTGATGATATTATTTATGAGTTTATGACGTCTTCTACGGTCGTATCGATTTCTTGGGCGATTGGTTCGGTATTCTGCGATTCAGCCATTTTCACAGGAAAATTGTTCGCGTGTAGGTATAGTAGTCAGAATAAATTGAAAGTGAGCCGATTCCGAATTTCGTCTTTGGCCGTCGCCGATAATTTAAAACAAACATCGTTTATTAGTAGCCAGCTACTACGACATAATATTATTATTAATCGACCAACAGCATCGACTGGATTTCGGGCCCATTTATTTTTTCGAACAAAATTATTATTATTATTTTTACTATACCATATTATTATATTATACCAATACGGCAATACTGTACAGTGTACTTACGTTATAACGCAGAGGTATACTTTGATTGTATTACAATATTTTATGATCTGCATTACATACTGTTGTACCTATAGGGTAGGTAGTACCTTAAGTACCTAGGTACCTATTTATATAATAATTATAATCCTACTACGTTATTTTACTTCTATAATCATAATGCAATGTTTTATTTTAAATTAACAATAGGTATCCTATTTCAAACATAAAATGACAAATGTACTATTTTATTAATGAAAATAATAGTAAACGTTTTTGAGTTGATACTGCACTAATTTTAGATTCCGAGTGGAACAATGAATGTATTGATTTTACAATGATGTGTGTTTTTTTTTATATTTTTATTTTAATTTTTGTGTCAGTGTACACGATAAGTAGTCGAAATAATGCTTCGATTTTCCATTTCAATATCTTGTTTGATTGGAAAGTGAATATCGTTGGTGCTTGGGCAGTTCAACATTTAAAATTCCCAGACATTTTCAAAAGCGCCAAGAAAAACCAAAGAAAAATTAAGGAAAAACGGCAATTTTTACGCAAAATCGATTTTTCAAAAAATTGAATTTGGTTTTTAGTGTAACTTTAAAAAAAATGACCGTAGATACATGAAATTTTCACTGGTTGTTTATATTTGCATTTTCTATACACGATAACGTTTTCAAAATATTTTGATTTATTTTGAACTGTTAAGGGACATTTTCATTTTCCATTTTTTATTAGTTTTTTTTTTTTAAATATCAATAAAATTTTATTTTTTGGTTAAGAAATCTTGAAAATTTAATAGAAGGCTCATCGCATATTGTTTCAAAGGTAGATGAAAAATATTAAAAATCCTTAGTCACAGTTTTTTTTTTATAAACATTTAAAGTTCAAAAATTGACAAAATATGGAAAAATCACGAAAATTAAAAGTTTGTAGTTCTTAAGCAACAACCACACTGCACTTTGCGCCCTTCCACGTGGCGGCGAAATAACGCCTTGTCCTACCACGTGAAATGTTGCTCGGAACTGCAGTGATAGTTGTTTCCGGCGCGTTCTTCCATTCCAGTGTAGATGTGTCCCTCTCTTCTTCAATTCCCACAGATGGTATCATGTCTGCCTTGTCATGCTGAACCTGCACGTCATCGCCGTGCTCGGTTGATTCAAGCGTCTAGGAGGGCGCCAGTATACTTCCTCTGCAGAGTCACCCCATACGATCGCAGTTGCCAGCGTCTCGGGCTCGCGGTTGCCGACACGCGAGACCATCAGCTGACGACTCGGCGCGGACCCGACTGCTTCGGTCGCCCCAGGAGCGACGGACCACCACGACGGGGATGGTTAGCTGTACCGGCGCGGGCAACGATACCGCCCTGACAGTACCACGAGGATGGCAGAGTGCACGAAGACGACTAGCGGCGGTGGAGACTGCAAAACACAACGTGTGAGCGATACAGCTAGATGACGCGGACCCGATGATTGAATCGTGGTTGATCGTGGTCCGGTCGAAGTGTCTGGTTTAGATTGAGGTGATGAAAATAACACAACACAAACACTTTATGAATGTCACTTTTGTAACGTCTCTAAGACGTTGGATGAGAAAGGATTAACATTTGATCGTTATAAAATAATACTCAAGACTTTAACATTATACACCTTTTAATTTCTACATCACAATTCAGAATAATAGTCACACTACATATTTTATTGTAAAAACGTGTTCTTATTAATTAATATATAAAGTATAATTTGTTATTGGGGTCAATCAATATTACCAACCTCAATACACTACAACTTTGAATATTATTATGTATTATATTACGACCAAAATATATATCGCGCTGCTTGGGCGATGAGTTTAACGTCGGACGATATGCTACCAGTCCGACTACGGTCCGATGGTGGATACTCGAATCGCCTTTTCCGACGACCGTTGTACGTCTTACGCGACACAGTCCCCCGTCCCGCCTTCCCGTTATCGGCTCGATGGGAGAGTCAACCCGGTCGCCCTGCTTGCATCCCTTAGTGGTGGTTGGAGATAAGCTAGACTGGTCGCCATAGTGCTTGTACACTGTACTTGCTTCTGTTGCGGGCCACGTCATAGGAACATGGACGTCAGCATCGCAGGACTCGTGGAAACGGATGACGCTTCAGGGTACAGCGATGCGCGATTCCAGGACGGTCATAATAAAATAAAAAATAATGAAAGAAATAAAAAAAAGGCCACTTTGAGCCGTTTATATTTCAAAAATTGTTCAAAATTAGACCACTTTGAACCGTTAAACTTTGGTTATACTTAAACTAAAATAAATATACTATACAATTACATTTGTTGAATACACAATAAAATTGTCTATGCAAAAACAAAATATTGTTTCTTTTTTTACTTTTTAGAGTGTATTTGTATATTTATTTATTTCAACAGAATAATGGGCTCCACTGAACATGTCCCTGTGAGGGCTCATGCAAAGCAATAACTATACCTACCAGCAATGTTTTTGCCAAGCATCAAATATATCAGTAAAATATTATAATAATGATAGGTATTTTTGGTCAGGTAAATGTATAATAATTAATAGATAACCATAAATAACTTGTTTTTTTTTCTACGTATATTATACATTTTACTAACGCAATGGCATTTTAAAAATAGTACCTAATACTTTATATTCTTGACCCCACTAAGTAGGTAACAACCAGTTCCTACCAATTATCAGAAAAGATGCTGATGTAAAATACTAAAATATCAAAGCATTTTTATTACCCCAAAAGGTGATGACTGATGACAGACACGAAAAATAAAAAAGCGGGTTAGTGGATGTCGCTCTGCTGCACAGTTGGTTACAAGTGGCCTGAGTGGGTCAGTGTAATGGATGGTGTTAAATTTGAATTCAATGATATAAATCATTGTATACGAGATAAATAAATGTACCTATTGTTTAGAGATTTTTTATTAAATAATTTTTAAATTAATATATAAATATAATTCAATAATACTTTCACATAAACTTGGTTTATCATTCATTAGCTATTCAATTGGGTAGGTAATAATTAATAAATCCATAACGAAGAATGATGATAGTCGATAGATGCCGTTATGATGATCACATATTTCGGGTAAAACAAAAAAACCTATTTTGCAACATATTTTTATTCATGGTGGAAATGTCTCAGTTGAAGGGGGAAACGTCGAGTACCTCTAAAATCTACGGGGGAAACGTCCAAATACCATTTATGATTCATAGATTTCCCTTGTAGAGAAAAAATATCGAGTAGCGTGCTATGGTTTTTTTATTTATTACAGAAAAAAAATGACATTATCAGAAAAAATATTCATTGATATTAGCCATTAGGTATTCAAATATGGCTCAGAATATAAAAAAAAGTCTCTTGCTGTAGCAGCTTCCACGTAGGTACGTCTATTTTTTGTACCCATAATTATAATATTATATGGCGATGGCCCTTAGTGTCAAAGACACCAATAATAGAAGTAATGACATATGCCGGAGAATGTAATAATTTCCCTAAAAATTTGGAAATGTTGAAATCGAATACATTGCTCGGTCGTTGAAGTTAAATTAATCTACCAACAAAGCCGATAGCAAAACCCGTGGAGGTATATACCTGCATTTCTCACTGCTGCAGCAGCTATATGGTATACCAGGTAATTATTACTATATCATATATTATTATATTAATGACATAAAATAAAATTTCAACAGGATTATCATACCTATTTCACATTCTATGTTTTCACCATGTTTTGTTTACAAGTAAAAAAATATTAATAAATTGTCCATACCACAGTTGAAATAAAGTTAAAATATTTACGGAAATTCGTCAAAATCACGAACATTTGCAAATAATTTTCTAGATAAAAATTCCTAAAACTTTATTTTAATACCTAAGATAAGGTTGGAAATTTGAATACAATAGATTCCTCGTGAGTTTTATTTGTCCAAGCCTACAGTTTATTTGATATGAATGATAATTGTAAATTGTAATTTTTCCAACTCTTCAACAGTTATTAAATCATAATTAATAAAAACAATTACATCAAATTTCTGTTTATAATTTATTTTCTGCATTTATAAAATGAATTGTAATTAATAATATTTATGTATCGGTAAATAAGTAAAATAAAGTAACCTATAACGAGTTAATGTGTTAAATAATTTTCCGTTGAAATAATTAATTAAAATTAAAAATAATTAGAGCACTAATCAATTTTGAATAATTATGAAGTAAATATTTACTTATTCTTGCATTTTAATTGTTAATATATAAAATGGATTACAATACAATTCAAAATCACGCATCTGTTTAAACAACAAGACATTATACGATTTAATTTTTTAATTAACTAAATATACAATACAATGCAACTGTTCAAATCACACAGTATAGTCATTCGAACTCCGATATCATGATTGTTAGCATATTATGACATGGATACATTTTTGTTTTGAATAACGCAAATTACCAAATCAGCGTCGTTAAAAAAAATCAAACACAATGAATAAGCTTTCGGTGTTTTCGGCAATTGTAATTATCTTGGGAGGAGAATGTTTCCATGGCACTAACGCAGAGTATTCTATTGAAACTACAAATGTAATGTATTATTCAATTCATTTAATTACATTATTACCAAGTGCTTATCAATTCTTCTAAAATAGAGAGTGGATTGTGCTTATTCGAAATATAACAAATATGACACTAAAATTTGTAAAAAAAAATACTTTCAAATAATTATTTCTCTGTTTTAAAAAATAACTAAGCGTATAATTAATATAATTATTTTATTTTGTGGACAATTCAAATATTTTCTTAATGGTTGTAAATTTGCAATATAATATTATATCTTAATTGTTTTTAATAAAAACTAGTTTTCTACATAATAAGTATCATTGATATTTATAAAAAAACCAATAATTTAACTTATTTGGAACTCTATTCTAAGTCATTTATTCAAAAATGGTTATCAATAAATAATTTAAAAAAATAATTCAAGTATTTAAAAATCTAATGATCTTGGCATATTTTGTATTACTGTTTTAGTTCACTGGCATGTGGTATGCAGTTATGGCGACTGGATGCCAAGACGGCAAAGACTGTAATATTTTCACAAGTACGGTTTTGTTTAAACACATTAAAAATACTTTGTACATTTAAATTTGTTTATTTTATATTTTATGCAAATAACTTAATACTTGAGATCAGGGTGAATGGGTGATAAAATAATTGTAATTCACCTAAAATATTACAATGTGGAGACCCCGCAGAGAGGCATTCACAAAGATCTTTAACAGTATTTTTTCCTATGACACAATTATTTTTTAATAATTGTTGACTTATTTTTTAGAAAATTATTATTATTAGTAACAATCGAGGTAGTAAAAAGTAAAAAAAAATGTTATGAGTAAATTTTAAAATGCTCATAACTCAATCAAAAATTAAAATATAGTAGTAACTAACTTTCAAACTTAAGTAAATAATCTTACCTTTAAATTTAATAATTTTTAATTTACTATAATAATAAAGCTAACAACTCTAAATTAGCTCGGCATAACATAAATTTGCTATATAGGCATATTATATCGTGGTGTAGGCCAAAAAAACGAAAACAAATAGTGCGATGACATTCTTTTAAAACAATAATTATAGTTATTAATTGTTATTTCTTTACTTGGAATTATACGATTCAACTTCAATTCATAATAATATAAGAAGATCTTTTATTATCTATGCTAAAATTATGACAACGGTGATATCACGTTTAGAGTATAATAATATTATATTAATACAACTGTAAGATAATAGTATGTTATATTTTATATGTGTTAATATTAATACTGTACTCTGTGCCCTTGTGGCGTTGAAATCTAATAGCATAATTGTCAAGTGGAATTTTTTAATGATTTGAAAATAACTAAATAATTTAATAATAATAAGCAAGAAACTCCAAAACACATCTGAATTAAAAGTGTAGGTAAACATTTAATTTACTGAGGGATGGGTTAAAATTATACTTTAGCCCATTCAGGATAATAATTGAGGGGCTAATCGCCGCTTTCTCCTACACCACTGAATATTCCTATGAATATATTGTATATAGAGCCAAAAGAGGTGGCTTCCCAAAAATGGCCTTATATCCTTATCGACCTTATCATTACTTTTGAAACACAGATAACAACAAATCATCAATATTCTCAAAGATAATAAAATATTTATAAAAACACTACCACTGAAAAAAATCCAAGGTGATAGGTAAGTCTACATGTCGAACAGCAGCTCAAAAATCAGAATAGTTGGCCAAAAACCTAGAATAAATACATCATACAATTTATATGTACCTGTAATACACCGAAATGTAGAACCACGATTTAAGATATTACTAGGTATCTTAAACCGTGTGAAGAACACTTGTAGAACAATGTACCTACCTATAACAGAAGATATTTTTTTGCGCCAATATATGTAGCTTAACATATTATTATAACGTCAACGATTTAAATACAATATTAATAATCGGCACAGTGTGTTCAAACTGTAAAATTTAGATATAATTTTTTTTCATAAATATAGATAACGAAAAACCGTGCGAATGTACATCAGCGTTATTTGTTGCTCTCCAGGAGAATGGCTGGCTAGTGTACATGAATTCGATCAACAACCAGTAAGTATGGTTTTTCATGAGTCCAAAAGTTAAAATATTACCGGACAACTAGTTACTAGACCTCTCATAAATTGTACCTAATTTGTATTATTATAAATTATAATAATGGAAACTATTAATTTTTTTTCATACGCTTTCGCGTACCATTAATCTCTTCAGGTCCTCTACAGTAACAATCGATATGGGAGGTGCAGCGCCGGCGGCCGACGATAAAACCATACAAGGTTTCATTTTCAGCCGTAAGCAATAAGCATATTATAATATTATAACAATTATACATTGTACCTATGTCACCTATGTAATACGTTAAGTCTAAGTGCTTGTATAAGCAGTGGCGTAGCCAGGATTATGAAATGGGGGGGGGGGGGTGTTTAAGTATAGGTTAAAACCGAGTTTTTACAGTTTTCGTATATAAATAAATTTAGGGCTCGAGACTTGACTTGTTGCACTAAAAATTATTGAAATATGCAGTCAAAATTGTCAAAATATGCTTAAATATATGCAGCTACATTTTTATATTATTTTTGAAAAATGCATAAAACATATTACATTTTTGGTAATAAAAACCTAAAATTAGGTAGGTATTTAAACATGATAAAAATAATTTATACACGGGCTTACTAATTTGAATTACGTAGGTACCTATATTGATTAATATGATGGACAGAGGACACTATTGCATGTTTTAGACATTTTTAAACTATTGTGAAATAAAACAACTTAATTTTTAAAAATACTGGCATAAAATACTAGGTTAATAAATAAGTAATAATGAATAACGTGATGCGCGAACACCATGATAACGAACACGTATCTACTGATTTTCATTTCTTCGTACCTACAATCTAGAATCTAGATGTCAATTATAGTAGTTTTAACACAGTTTTGTCACAAAGATACTTATAAAATTTTACGTACCATATGCGAAAATAGGACCAACCGTAGCCAAGCTCTACCAACAACTTTAACAGCCCTCCCAAACATTTACTATATTTTTTTAAGCTTATTCAATTTTATAATAGTATGGTTTTAGGCTTCGGCCTCCCCAAATTTCAAAATTAGCGCCTATTGTACCTAACCAAACATAATGTTTTTTTAAGATATTTTTCAATGTTATCCTAATATGATTTTTCCCGAAAATTGTATATTTGTATGTACGTTAAGTTAAAAAAATGCAAAATATGCCCAAATATGCTAAAAAACGCTCAAATGTACATTTTTTCCTAAAATATGACAAAATATGCAAAAATATGCAAAATTCAAACTTTGTAAACTTTGTTCAAACTTATCTAAAATTATTTACGACCACTACAATAAAACATGCAAGCAGTCCCGATTTATATACCGTAATATTTAGTCCTATTTATTACGGAGAAAAATGTCTATTGGGGTGGTTTAAACATCTAACCCCCCCCCCTCTCTACGCCACTGTGTATAAGGGCAGTGAAAATGTTGGTGCTGCAAGAGTCGGACTGTCGGAGCACCACTATTAGGTAATATTTTTATTATAATTTTTTTTGAGTATCGAGTCTTTATTTTGTATGTACACGGGGGTTTTACCAGTTAACATAAACTTTATATTAAGTTTTTTTAAATAAAATCTTATAATCGTACCTATATGTATTATATCAATATTCAATTAATAATAGTGTCCAACTAAAGTAGAATCTGCAAATTGTTGACTCTTATTGTATTTCCATCCAAGACCCACTAAGACTCTGGACTCACTACTATAATTATACTTGCAGCTTATGGTCTTATACGCCGTGACATCCATGCGCTGTCTTCTTCTATAATTGTCCCAATAATAATAATATTTATTCGACTTTCAAGTTTCAAGCACGATAATTTCACTATATACAACTTAAAAAATCTAATTACATTTTCGTTTATTATCAAAAATCAATTTTTATGTGAAAAGTATAATTAATAACAGATAATATGTAATTTTTTAGGAGCTACAGTACCATTGAGCGTAATAGCAGCATCGGAATGCTCAATTACTGAAAATGTTATTGGAAAACAGTGTAAGCACATATAAGATGATCGGGGTTGTACATCAAACATACCTAATCATTTAATAAAAATAATAAGATAATAATTGATAATATATGCCTATTTTTAGTTTTTTTAAGGTATAGAATTACCATTATCGGCTCTAGTGAAAAGGATGGTTATATGATCACCACAATGGCGGAAAGTAAGAATTTATATTTAAATAATTATAGGAGCCTATTATAATATAGATAATAGTGTTATACAATTAGTATTCGCCATTAGGGCATATTACGGGGCATTTCTTCTACGTCTTTTAGTTTTATAAATTCCTTTTAAGTATTTCTAGTAGGTGCCTATTGCCCACGGACTAAGATAGATAAATCTTAGTCCATGCTATTGCCTAAGTCTAACTTTTAGACCATAACATATACATTTTTTGTTAGACTGTGAGTTGTATACATTAGCCATTAGGTACCTACGTTATTACGATATTTAAATAATACATTTTTTCGTTGTATAAGAGGTCATTAAGAGGACGTAACACTGGTATTTATTGTTTCCGCCTTACAAGTGCGAAGTGCATAACATACCAAATTTACGCTCAGCAGAACACGTGTACCATCGTTAGTTTAAAAACTAGAGTGAATTGACCTATTATGAAACTTGATGGTAAGAAAATTATCTGTGTTTGTACTTGAGTTTTTTTACAATAATTTAGTTTCCAAGCGAGTTATGAGCACTTTTAATTTACGGTATATTATATACGCATAACTTGCTAAAAAATTGAACTATTGTAAAAAACCAACATACAAAAACAGATAATATTCTTATCGAATGGTGAACATTTCCCTCCGGCTGTTTTCGGTGTAGTAGGAAATTTTCCCCACGATAAATTTTTGATGCGGACATTTCCCCCCCCCCCCCGTTTTTTTTTTGTTTTTTATTTTTAATTATTTACCTTCGAATATAAAATTATTATTTTTTAACACATATTTTTTAGCTTTTCTTCATATTTCTTTTTTTTTTATTTTTGTAAAAACTGTACGTTAACTAAAAAATCTTTAATCTTAATTTCAATAAAAAAATAATAAATAATATTTAAAACAAGTTAAGTAAAAATATAGTTTTAAATAAAAGTAAAATAGTATAGTATACTAATATTGAATTGGATGGGTAACATTGAAATCTAAAATTGTGTCCATAACCCAGTCAATTATTAAGGCTATCAACATAACTTTCTTATACAATCTTACATCGACATGAGCATTGAGTCAATATTTTATATCAAAACTGTTCAAAGCAGTTTAGTAGTGGTTTAGTGGTTATAGTGGTTATATACGTTTTAAAATGAAAATTCTTGTTTTAAATTTTTTTTGTGGCCATGGATAAAATACTAATTCTTAAAACAGACAGAGGAGGTTTAAAAATTGTTTTTAAAGATTATATGTATACAAAACAAAAAAAATGGGTGTGTGTGGAAAAAAAAAAGAAAAATTTTGAAAGTAGTGTAACAACTCCTTCCTGACTTTTCGCAATAAAAACGTCAAATGTATCAAATTAATTCATTATATTTTGTTTATACAATCTTTTTTATTTTTATGTCGGATTTTTTGGCCAGCTGTACTGGACTATATTATATTATTTAGACAATCTTTCATTTAAAATTATATTTTTACTTAACTTGTTTTAAATAATATTTATTATTTTCTTATTGAATTAAGATTAGACTTTTTAGTTAACGTACAGTTTTTACAAAAATAAAAAAATAAATATGAAGAAAATCTAAAAAATATGTGTTAAAAATAATAATTTTATATTCGAAGGTAAATAATTAAAAATAAAAAAACAAAAAAAAAACAGGGGGGAAAAGTCCGCATCAAAAATTTATCGGGGGGAAATGTCCTACTACGCCGAAAACAGCAGGGGTGGGAAATGTCCGGATACCATTCTTATCATCAAGTAACATAATAGGTCAATTCACTCTAATTTTTAAACTAACGGTGCTACAAGTGTTCTGCTGAGCATAAATTTGCTATGTTATGCACTTGTAAGACGGAGACAACAAATACCAGTGTTATACGTCTTCTTAATAATTACAATTAATGTAATAGCTGTTGTGCCACATAACTAAATTATTATTTTTTTTTTTTAATTTTAGTTGATGAAAGTAATAAAGACAAGGGGAATCCGTTAACAGTTATTTGGTGCCATAATAAAACGCCTGGTAAAGATACAATCTGGAGGCATATAGTAGAACACTTTAAATCTCTTCAATTAGATATCCACCAATTAAAGTTTATCAACCAGATAGGTTGCAAATATCCAACGGAAAATCAATATAACGAAATGTTTTTCTGCTGATTATCAAAATTTGATTTAATCAGATTTAATCTGCTAATCGATATTGTAAGTTAATTACATAGAAGTAAAATACAATGTATAATATATGTATTATTATTGTATTATACTATGATCCAATTAAAATTACCATACATATTTATATCTAATATTTTTTTTAATTATATTAATATAACGATGTAATGTACCTATTTAAATGTTTTTAAATGTTTAAAATAAAACCATAAATAATATACTTATTACTTTATATATATTATATATATACAAAATTAAACATTATAATACAATATTAATATCGGGGACGAGGTGGCCGAGGGGTCCAACGCGTCGGCAGCGGCGCAGCCGATCCGGGTTCGATCTTTGGTCACCGGGCGGCATTTTTCTTCGGGCAAGTCACGGTGTCCGGAGAACAAGTGCCGCCATCCCCCACCCGGGCATGGCAGATACCTAAGGGTGCCCAATCAAAAATTCTGCCAAACACAAACACTCACGTGTAAAAACTTACCATGCCAAACCCTACAAACAGCTAATGGCCGCAGAAGCCGAGCTTAAGGATCAATAAAAAAAAGGTGAGTAAGTGGATGTCGCTCTGCTGTACAGTAGGTTACAAGTGGGTCACTGTATAATGGATGCTATTAAATTTGAATTCAATGATACAATATCATTGTATAAGAATAACGATTCTGAGCGAAGACGGTATGTCAGTCTAGGTTTAAGCAAAGGTGGCCATTAACTAGTTGAAAAGTTAAAGTTCAGTTAAAAAGTTTTTTTTAACTTTTTAACTTAACTAGTTAGTTTATTTTCTAATCAACTTATGAACTTAAATAGTTTAATTTACAATTGAAATAACTTAGCTTTTCTCAGTTGATTTAAAAAAATCCATTAAGTTAAAACATTTTGAAATTGTTCGTTTATACTTAAATATTACGAATTTTTGTCATAAAAATTTAATTTGACTTTCTTATAGACATTTTTTTTTTTTTGATAAAGGTAGATAATCTTATAAGGAATCTTGTATTACATTTTCAAATCTTAGATTTAAAAAGAAAAATTTTTACGAATTCTTAACTCAAAATAATTTGCTAATTTTCGTGATTTTTCGATATTTTGTCAATTTTTAAATTTTAAATGCTTTTAAAAAAAAATTGTGACTAAAGATTTTTATATTTTTCATTTGCCTTTGAAACAATATACTAATAACCCTCTATTTAATTTTCAAGCTTTTTTAACCAACAAATACAATTTTATTGATATTTTTAGAAAAAAAACTAAAAAAATATGGAAAATGAAATCAAATAAAATCAAATCAGTTCAAATCAAATCATAATATTTTGAAAATTTTATCGTGTACAGAAAATGCTAATATAAACATTCAGTCAACATTTTATGTATCTACGGTCATTTATTTAAGGGTTGCACCAAAACCAAAATTATTTTTTTCGAAAACAGATTGTGTGTAAAAATTCCCGTTCTATTTTAATTTTTCTTTTGTTTTTCACGGCACTTTTGAAAACTACTAAAAAAATTATACTTTTGACTCCCCAAAGTACCAAAATTCCATTAGATGGATAATTAAGAACGTTTGGATGTATTTTATAAGGATTTCGCAGAATTTCTGGCAGGGTAGTCATACATAAGTACATAACACATTAACACACACACATATTAGTATATTACGTATATATATTCATATTCACATCTAAGTTATTAAATTAATTTGGATGGGGTAACCTCGTTATTAACTACATTTACGATAGTAAAAAAGTATTTTATGATTGACTATCAATTATCATGATAATAATAATGAATATTGAGGGGGGGAAGTTCGCAGAGTAGTCAAGTGCCTACTGGTTGGTACTTTGGGGGGTCAAAAATAAAAATTTCCCAGTAGTTTTCAAAAGCACCGTGAAAAACAAAAGAAATATCTATTATTAATATTATTTGAATTATTATGAGTATTTGATCTATAAAAATCCAATTTTGGACAAGTAATTTATTACCTAGTACCTGGTTCCTAACACTAATAAATATTTTAATTTTTAAGAAATTGTTGTTTTTAGTGACTTAAAATGGTGTAAAAAAACGTTCAAAGCTTATGAAATAATTAGTGTCTTACATTAAAATTAATATTTAATATCCAATAAATTATTGTCATATTATATATTATATAGTATAGGTACCTACTCGTATTGAACACGTTACAAATACTTTATTTCTATTGATAATATATCATGTCCTATAGTGGGCTCTGTGCAATAACATATATGTATAATATACAGCATAATATATATTTTGTAAGCTAGTTAGCTAATATTATTATAGAATAAACATAATACTGATAACAATACAATCTGAATGAGCGACACTCACAGCAAGATTGACAAGGATTCTAAATGGCAAAACTATACTGTAATATAGAACATTCTAAAGAAAAATATAAAATTACTAAGCAAATTGGAGAAATTCAAATCCACGGAGAGCTTTATTACACATCGTTTTTCTCGTAAAATCGCAGGGTTTTTGATTTTTTCGATGTAACTTGTTGTTACATTTTTTTAGTCATTGATCAAAATCTTAAAAATTCAATAATATCAAATAAAACCAAATAAATTACGTAACAATAATAACGTCTATTAGTATAAATACTAAATGTAGGTACCTACACAAGATTACGGAAATATAGCCATATATTTTATAATTTATAGGTAGGTATCATCTTTTTACATAAACACTTCTTTTGATCCAGGGCTAGAATTCTGACCGCAGGGCAGAAGTAACCTCTGTCAGCTACTGCAGATCATTGACTTTCCACAGTGGCTTTTAAACGTCGCTGCAGTCTTGGTTCCCTCCCCTCTCGCCTTTATTACGCCTGTGTAATACGCCAAGGTGAGCTTTTGTCCTGAGTTCACAGCTCTTTTGTGTCCAGCTAGACTCCGTTTTGTTCGCCGGACACTTTGAACGTTTAGGCTCGCCTTTTTTTGGCGTTCGCCCGGCAGACATTTTTTTGTCCTCTCGTTTGTTGAACCGTTTCGTGCATCGGCACCGGCTTAGGCTCTTTTCCGTGTCTTGCGCCACGTCGTGGTCGTTCCCGTTTCCCTACAGCTTTTTCCACAGCGGTTACATTATTAATATTGGCTCTAAGAAAACAACACTAACAACTAAAATATCGTTGCCATGTACGTGAATGTTTCAAAAATCTACAATTCATATCTGTGTCACATAGTTACCACTTGTCAATATTCATTTCTTGTGTTCATTACGGATAAATTTCATTCCTATACGTATTTCTGTATAATCTTCTCCGAATTGTGCCTATATAATATTTTCAAATAAATATGTCATATAGATGTGTATCTATGCCTAACATGGCTGCGATGTGTGAAAATTCCTCAGCCAAATCGACAGATATTGGATGGCGATCAACGCCAAATCTCAAGTTTAACCATACCAATGATATACGAAGACCGGAACCGTCGAAAAATTGTGATTCCGAGGGTTTTTTGGACGGCAGGTTCTGTGTATCTGAGCCGAACATTCCCATACATCCAAAATTAGCTGGCGAGACAGCTGCAGATATTGGGTGGCGATCAACGCCAAATCTGAAGTTTCAGCAGGTCACCAGCGATGTACGGAAACCGGAACCGTCGAAAATTGTGATTCCGAGGGTTTTCTGGACGGCAGGTTCTGTGTACCTGAGCCGAACATTCCCATACATCCAAAATTAGCTGGCGAGACAGCTACAGATATTGGGTGGCGATCAACTCCAAATCTAAAGTTTCAGCAGGTCACCAGCGATGTACGGAAACCGGAATCGTCGAAAAATTTTGATTCCAAAGGTTTTCTGGACACCAGCGATGTACGGAAACCGGAAAGTCCGAGACACACACGTCCTCGTCGTTCATTTTGGCGCCAGACAAAGAAATTTGTCAGGCGGTTCCTTTGTTGTTGTGGTTCTGTTGACAAGATAGACCAGTAATATGTACCATCGTCAGCTCTTCGCCACCTGTTTTGTTCTGTATTAATTAAATTAATATTATTATTATTATTATTATTATGTTACTCATATTAAACGTATTATTATAAAGTATGTACTATGTATAGTAATACCTATCTATTATATCTACCTCATTCGATTTGCATAAATGTATGTAATAATCCTATATGGTCACGCAGGTGGATATTATATTGTCATGGATGTCATCGATTTTCATGATAGTAAAAAAATTAAAAATTATCTATACTAGAGTGGTTGACAAATGATTTACTTCACCTTCCATTTAACCACCCCAAAATCGAGCCAAATATAATTGAAGACCACATTTTAGAACTTTTGAGATTTTCGTATTGCATTAGAAGTGTCCTTGTGGCGATAATGCGATATAAACTTCCGTTTTTAAAATGCTTCCATTAAGAAGAACTTGAACGCTTAGACATTTTAGTTTTAAGTACAAAAGATATCCAAACCTATCTTGTATAGACGACTATGGAGTATTGGATGACATACTATGATTTATCTTGAGAGTGATGAAACAGACAACTCACTGGAGAGTTGACGTGTTTCTGCGGAAAACACAGCACCGTATACATGAGAAATCGAGTGAATATCCAATGTTGTAAAAATTTGAATTTCAGACGCTCATAAAAATTTAATTTGACTTTCTTATAGACATTTTTTTTTTTGATAAAGGTAGATAATCTTATAAGGAATCTTGTATTCCATTTTCAAATCTTAGATTTAAAAGAAAAATTTTTACGAATTCTTAACTCAAAATAATTTGCTAATTGTCGTGATTTTTCCATATTTTGTCAATTTTTGAACTTAAAATGATTATAAAAAAAAATTGTGACTAAGGATTTTTAATATTTTTCATCTGCCTTTGAAACAATATACTAGGAGCCTTCTATTAAATTTTCAACTTTTCGCAACCAACAAATAAAATTTTATTGATATTTTTAGAAAAAAAACTAAAAAAAGATGGAAAATGAAAATGTCCCTAAACAGT